AACTCTCCAAGATATTTGATCTCCTTATGTAAAATGCTTAAAGCAAAGTACTATAAAGTTGCAGATTCAATAATTTGATGGTGCTGAAGGTCAAGAACTGAACCAACCAAAGTTCAATTTACAAAATAAATAAGTCTATCATGTCACACAGATTACCCATGAAAATGCTTTAAAAAATTCCAGTGAGATCCCACAGAAGCCAACAAAATACAGGTGGAAGAGCTGATTTTTTTCCAAGAAAAAGCCCTCCCAAATATAAGCATGCAGACAGTGGCTGTTTCCCTAAACAGCAGCTTGTGGGCAGACTGGCAATCTCAAGTAAATTCTGTGTTACCTGCCAAGACACCTGTTGAGCTGATTGATAGATTTTCATTTAATTCAATAACTTCATGACTAGTTTAGCTTTCCAAGGCAGGACTGGCCAACTAAAGCACAAGTAAAAAGTGCACTAAATATCACAGCTGCACAAGCCTGAGCTCTAAGCTGCAAAGCCAGGTTTAAGCAGCCAAAGAATCACTGAAATTTCTGCCAACTGCAGTACATAATAAAAAAAGATGAAGAAAGAAAAACAACCACAAAGCTAGTAAATGGTGCGGTGCAATATTTTGAACTTTGCTGATAAAGTGGTAAAAGGCCTAGGGATGTGGTATAGAAGCTCCTATACAAGTTCTGCTCTTACAGAGTTAGTGGTTTTCTGCAGTTCATAGATGACTTGGAGTAATCCCTCCCCGGACCCTTCAGTGACTCAAGATGATGTCACCAAGGTGGCAAGGCACAAAGTGGCCGGACCAGATAAGGCAGCCCAGTTCCTTCCCTTCTTTCCCACCAGTTTCACAGCACAGCCCAGAGCAGGGCAGGCTCCTAACACAAGACTCAAAGATGAAAGAGTAACAAGAAATATCCTCTAAAAAAGCTGAAGAAGCCAAACACAGAAGCAGAAGCCACACATAGAGTTTTATAACTATTAGTGGGGTTTTAGAAACTGTTTTAAATATTTTTTCCTTACAGCTCTGTTTTACTTAAGAGTTGGGAATGTCATAAATATCCAGTTCATGTTACCCTGAAATTTGGGTATTAAACCTAAGAGGTTTGGAGAATGGAATGTGAGATATTCTGATGTTCTTAACCAAGTACTCCATAATTAAACATCAGTTTGTTGGGGAAATTAAAGGAAAAAAAAATGCTTTCTATTTTTAGTGGATGAACTGCATCCATATACAGAGACTTAAAACTTCCTGAATGATCTGTTTTGTCGAAAATTAAACCTGCCCTCCAAAATCCCTGATCTGCTATATCTATTTTGTGCAAGTGTCATTGCTTTCTGCTATGTTACTGCCACACAATTCAGTTAGCTGTGCCACTTTGATATTAAAAAAATATTCAGCACATTTCTAATAGATAAAATTCCTTCAATGTTTACCATAGTCTATCACAGAGTTACAATGAGAGCATTCATTTCTTTTGCGGTTAAAAGCCTGACTGCCATCTCATTGCATTCTAAACTAAACCTCAAAATCAGTCAGGAGAATCAGAACAAGACGGACATGCATATTTCAAATATTAAACTTTAATCAGGACCAATGTTATAGTGTGTGAATAACTGCCTTTAAATCTTCAAAAATATTTTGCAGTTCTTTAAGCATAGCATTTACTTCACGCTTATTTAAATTCAAAGAATCACTTACTCATATTGATCAAGGTTGTTGGACTTCTTTCCTGTTACATAGTTGCTTGGAATATAGCCCTGATTTCTAGAAGAATATATGATAGGAAATTTGAATAAGGTTACCAAATTGCATGCCTAGAAAGCAATCCTTTATCCTGCTAATTGCCACAGGTCTCTAGCAGTCATTGCCTTTATTACAGACCCACTCTACTACTCATTACCCAGAAACATATTTTCCTCAATTAACTTTTGCTGACCGTAAATAAGTTAAAACATTTAGCAGATCTGTTAAAAGAAAACCAGCAGAAGAGTCAAAAAAAGCATCATGGATTTACTGTCACTTCTGCTCCTGAATGAACTAGCCAGTCCCTGAGAGCACATTTTGGGACTCCCAGAGCAGCCCTAAGAGTGTGTAATGCCTGAAAACCACCCCTAGCATCTTGCAACATTGACCTAATAAATAGTGAAGTAGAGAAACTCTCACCTTTAAATACAACGAAAAGTAAAAATTCTGAGAAGGTAAAAGCTGGGCACTGCCACTGAAGTGCAGGCATCTAACTGGGATTCTTCAGGAGCATGTTTGAGCCTCACCCTCATTCAGAGATTACCCCTAATGATCCAGCTATTAAATAAGATGATCACTTACGCCTGAAAGCCAGAACCTGCTGATCTGAATGTTAACCATATTGCTCCCTAATGAGCCATTTTCCAGTGAGGCGGGAGTATTTTATCACCATAGCTAGGCATCATAGCCCGCCTGACACTTAAATTAGGAAACCATAAAAGTCTGACAGGAAATGTAACTGCAAAAGCTTCCAATTCTGCAACGGTCTATGCAGGCAGACTCTGCAATTTATTGGCAGCTTCATTTTTTCCAAACGAGACTCTCTTTGGGCACAAAGATATGGAACAAACTTCAGCACTGGGAGCCCAAATGGGATCTAATAGAGTTAGCTGTTGACACATAATCAATATAAATGACTATGATGTGGAAATAACCTTTTTCAACTTTAAATTAATGCAGAAAATAAGGAACGGATATTTACCCGTATTTATCTCTTGCCTTCCACCAGTGAATGTCGTTTTTTTCTATTATCGTATACTCTTCACCTTTCTCTAATCTTAAATCATGATGCTCTGTAGGCTGGAAGTCATACATCGCTACCACTATTTCTTCCTCTTCCGTGTCATTTTCTTCTGGAGGAGCTGGTGGTGGAGGCCTTCGCTGAAAGCAGCACAGAACTGCAGTTATTCCCTTCTGCTTGCAATTCCACCCTTTTTGTTACACTGCTGCAAAGCCGTTGAGCCTCCTGAAGGCAAAATCTCTGGTAGCCCAGGCAGGAGCTCAGGTTGCCCTCTGTCCTCATCGGCAGCACAGCAGTGGGAGAGGATACAGGGGCCATAAGGACTGGCCACCAGCCGTGTCCAGCCCCAAAGATCTGTGCTTTCCAATCCCTCATCCCACTGGCTGCACACACAGAACTAATAAGCCCAGTCCAGTTTGCAGGATTGGATTTTTTTAAATCGTGGACTTCAAATCAATCTTAACACCTAATGATGCTTACAGGAATAGACCTCTGCTCTAAGGTAAGAGCCACAATAAACCCAAATGCTACCTTAAGAAACAGCAATTAACTAGTCAACATTTTTAAAGACTCTACCTACCCTACTTTGTTCTGGCATTGGAGAGGGTGCTTTCCTTATACCTAGAAGCAGAGCACAGAAAAGAATTTGCATCCATTCATTTACAGATTAAAGAAAGAAAAAGAAAAGATTTAGAATTCAGGTAAGATTTCAACACCTCAGAAAGTTATTCTGATTTTTTTCTTACTTCTGTCAAGTGCAATAGCAATTCCTCCCATCCCCGCCGCCTTTTTTTCTTTCTCAGTTAGAAGCTTGAGCTTTATTCATACCAGAATATTTTATTTTAGCTCAGGTTTCATATCTTCATGATTGCAGAATTAGGCTGAGCATGAACCACAGCTTATTCTTCAAGTCTTCCAGCACAAGTAAACAAGCAGATCCCCACCACTGCCATTAAAGGCTTTCATTCAGAAAGCATGGAGGCATCACCGATATCATTGGGATCAATTAAATCTTTTCTTACTATGAATTTTTTTTTCTTGAATCAAGGACTAAATAATCACTGTATTTTTAAATAGGGTAATTTTGCAGTGAGGGTCACACTTTCATGTCTTTGCATGCTACAGTGTATATTGCTATATAAATACAATCTATGATTCATATGATGGAATATTTATGTGCATATGAAAGTCACAGCACATTCCAATTCAACATACAAAGTTTATAAACAACTAGGAAAATCCAGTTGTGTGTCTACAAATATACTAAGTCTTCCTTCCTTCTTGCATCACTGGTTTAATAACATCAATCCCAAAAAGGCATTCTCCCTAGAACTTGTATAAGCTATTTATTAAAACAAAAGAGTTATCAAAAAAAAGTATTTGAACCACCATAAGGTTTCACCTCAGTCCCTAAGGGAAACACTTTGTATATTTTTTTTTAATTCAAAAGAGGGGAGAAGGGAAGAACAGAACAAATGAAAAATAAATTCAGCTGCATCAAAATGTTTCCTTTCAATTTTTTTCTGAATATTTTTGGAAGAACAGTCCTTTTAAATAATTTTAAATAAAATAGTTTTATAAAACACTTGGATTTACTTTAGAAAGCATCACCAATTCACCCTGATTCACCCATCAACAATTCACATTAAATTTCCCAGATGTCTGAGGCACTCATGTGCAACAACAGTCATAAAAAAGAAGAGGGGTGGGGGACAGAAACCAGGCCAAAGCAATTATGTATGCAAACACATTAACTTACTGCTTTCAAAAAGATTGTATTTTTCACAGCCAGGTGCTAATTTTTCTGTCTGTCTGCAGCACTGATAAATTCCCTCCGTCCAGAATTTAGGATGATATTTCACCATTATATCACTGTTGTTCTTTATTTCTAGAAGAAGCAAGCAGTATGGATAGTGAGATACAAAAAAAATCTGCAGGAATATCATAAAATTTGTTAGTAAGCATTTTTAACATGGGGCATAACTTTAACTTCTTATTGTCCTTACTACAGCATTGCTACCCTTAAAGATTTTTTTATGTGTTTATGTGGAAGCCTTATAGTAACAATAAGGGATAACTGTAGGATAATGCATCATGTTTTCCAGCCACTGATGGTGGCAGAAAACTCTTCGAAAAAAAAAAAAGCTGCTGCTAAACATGTAGGAACTTCACTCCCTTCAACAGCATAACTCAGAACTGCATTTCAGTGGAGATGCCCTGATGTAAAGTGACAGCAGGCAAGGGGATCACCATGACTGCTGTGGATAAGATTTTGAATGATTAACGTATCGTGCCACAGCAGAAGATCGAGTTCTGATTTTAGCTAGACTGCACGAACTGAGCAAAATCCACACAGATGTTTGATATTTCTGCGGCCTGTTATTACACACGATGCAAGGAAAGGATGATCCTGCCCTGCAAAAATAAAATCATCAGAAAAAGGAAAATTCTACTATTACATTTTTCTAGACCAAGCAAATGTGTCTAAATATATCACATATTAATTGTCAGCAATTTTTATTACCTTCCTTCAGATTCCTCACCCACTGATCCCGGCTTTGTGCACTTGGTGCAAAAATATAAAGTGTATTAGCATCATACACAACCTGAAGGAACGAATAAACAAACAAATAAATAAATAATCCAAAAAGACAGCAGCATGGTAACATTCATTTAGTTATTTCTCAGGAAATAGAGTAAATAAAACAAGACAAATGATTTTTACATTTGGGGCAAAACTGTGGTCTTCAACACAAGAAATATAAGAGACAAGATACATAAACTGGGAGAAAAAGAGAGTTTAATATTTATATATGGTGCTTTCAGTAAGATAAGAAAGGTTTTGGGAGAGCCACCTTCAGTCACAGGAGGCTGAAGCGACAGTATTTGAAACAAGTTGCTCATCAAGGGTTTGGCTCTGCTCAAGACTTTGTATGTGATACAAACCAAAGGAACATACCTGAAACGGATACTTATTTTGACAGGGACTAATGCCATCATTTTTGACAACTTCTACACATTTTATCCTTGAAATGTCAACAGATCCTTTTCTGTACTTTTTCTATAAAAGAAAAGCAAAAAAGCTAATCATTTACAATGTAGGTAAAGACAGGGTAACCTAAGGGCATTAATCTTTTTTTTTTCTTTTTCCCTCCAGAACCTTATTTCTTTCTTTTCCACCTGTGATACTGATGTTGCTTTACCTGCAGAATCATTTCAGATGTGAAATGGGAGGGAGAAAAGACATAAAGTGCACAGAGCAGCACATACCTGCTTGGTAAAAGGAACCTTTGAATATGAAGCTTGTAATTAGTTGTAATCATTACTTTAATTCTTGCATGCCAGGTAACAAAAATTTCTTAAAATAATTAACTTGACAGCAGATGAAACAAGGCTCTTTTATCACTGATTTTAAACTACAACTAAAATGGTAAGTGTGAAGATGAAAATTCCATCCCAATTAGCAGAATGACCAAAAATACCATCTTACAAAACAAAGGGCAGAGCCACTTCAGACATAGCTGTATCACTATGCTACCACCTGTAGCAACCTAACAGTTATTACCCAGGGCAAATGCAGAAGCTTTGTCAGCATTTGAAACACCATCTGTACTCTGTCTGTTATACATATGGTTACAAAAAAAAACAGGTAGAGGAAGCATGTGTAAAATTCATGCACATCATGGTCACCAACAGGTAATGTGAGAGGAACTTGAAGTCCAGATAGAGCTGTAACTAGTTTGTAATACCACCACACCACCACAACTCCCCAACCCCCAAAAAATCCAAAAAGCTGTTATGGAATTATGGAAGTCTGCAACACTTACTACAGCAGTCAGGATTGAAGGATTGCTCCTTCCTAAGGATTTTTGTTGCATTACAGGCCTTGCAGCTTGAGAACCAACAGCTGAGCCAGCCTGGCACAACAGGAGCTGAACACAGGGAGCTCCCGCAGCATTTTCTCTCTCTTACCTTTCCCCTACACCCTCCTAAGTCCACCACTCCATATAATTAAACTTTTAAAAAAAAAGAAAATTCAGATATTCCCCTGGACACCAAGAAAGAAGCTCTGTCTCCTTCCAAAGGAACGTTTGCCATGTCCATAGCACCTCCCTGGCTTCCTGTGTCCTGGGGGCTACTCGCATATTGCCTGGATTGCTGGATAACAAGGTAGTGGGACTGAGAGTGAGAAGATGATGTTTTTTGTTTGCTGTTTTCCCTCCCGGAATCACAGAAATTTTTTGGAGGAACAGCCACATCATTTCTATTATTACCTTCTCTAAAATCCCTTCTCCTCCAAGACTTTCAGATTTTCATGCCAATTCTGGCATTACGTGAGAGTTCAGAAGAATTACACATGCGCAAGGAAGACAGAGGAAGAATCCAACCAGATAACCAACTATTATTTGGGGAGAAAAATAGAGGAAATATTCTGATTTCCTACACTTCCAGCAAATGAAGCCTAGTAAAAGATTTTTCTGGTTGTGAGCATTTCAAAAATTAAAAATAAAATCTCAAATGGGCACATTTAAATACAAATGTTCCATCCAGACATGTTTCAGATTGCATCAGAGACCATAGCTATTAATGGCCAGCAGCCATTGCCAGGTTTGCAGCTGTGTTTCAGCTCAGCATCTCTCACTATTAAACCAGGGTGCACAGGAGCAGGGAAGAATGACTTAAGTAAAATGCTAAAAACAAAACAAAAAAATTCTCTCCCCTTCTGACTCCAAACAGTTTCCTTTTGTTTACTGCACTTATTCTGTATGCTGCAGGTCTTGTTGCAGATGCAGGTCAGCGTACAAGCGGAAGAAAGTACGGGATCAAGCCCTGAACTAACGTGGAAGAGGAGCTATACACACGAACACACCACGAGAAATCCACCCATAAGCCTGCTTTCCAACCAGTAATCTCTGTTACAAAGAGAGGAAAAAGCTAAATAAGTACAGTGGCTGGATACGCAGCATTAAACCATTGGGACAGCTTCCATGGTTGTTTCTGGAGGTGGAAGACGGCTAACGCTGGAGAGGAATTTTGATATCCCTGCTGAAACTGGAGCATTTCCCCAGCCCATCAGTGCCCGTGCCCTGAGCCAGGCACAAGCAAGCACAGAGGATTTGGGAACTCCACAGGACCACGAGAGCTGGTGCATCCCTTTTGAGAAGGCGGACGCATGCCCTTAGAGGGAAGCCAAGAGCAGCAAAAGGGTTAGAACATTAATAAAGATCTAACTGCTACACAGCAAGATAACAAATAAACAATAATGAGTTTCAACGTTAACAAATACATAAATGTTCTAATTTCAAACATTTCAAAACATATTTTTTCTAAAAAAAATTATCCGTCTGCCGAAAATAACTTGTCAAAAGGGAAGTGACTATACAGAACTACTATTAAAAGCTTCTCAGAAATGCAAAATGTCAGACATACTTCATATTTTCCTATGCTTCACAAACTTGACAATTTTGGAAGCCTCGCTCCTTGCACACGGTTTTGTTTCCATGCAGTGCAAAAGAAGAAATACTGCTTTAATATATAAAGCAATAATATCCAGAAGTTATGACACTGCAACTACACTAGCGGATCTGGTACAAATACATATGAGTACATAATTCCTGTTCCCCAAGATAATAATCTTAGAATTCAGGAAGACGAGAAATATATGAATGTTAGATAAGTAGTATGCAATCAAACAGCTCAGCCTTCCTACACTTGAAATATAGAAGCTCTGCAACTTCTTAAGAAGCCCATTTTCCCACTACAAGAGAAAGCTGTTCTTCAGTGTATTTCTTCATTGTTTACAAAAATACCATTCTGTTTACCTCCAGAAAAGTGGGGTGGAGGTGGGGGGTTAAACAGTGCAAAGGATTTTCTGATGCCTTTGAAATTTTTCCACCTGGAAAGTCCAGTCCTGTTGTCAAGAAATAGTGGCTTTTTTTTTTTCTCCTCATGGGTGTTGTTCCTCTGGTTCATACTGAGCATTTCTTCCTCCAATGCTTGTTCCCAACGGAAGCAACCCTGAGATCACCAGCATGTGAACCCACAGCACTTTTGTTCCCAAAACATACACAGGTCCCGGCATCAATTAAATCTCTTTTTTTATGGAGCTGCTCTAAAACTTCCCAAAACATTAGTGAACACTGAACTATACACCAAGTATCTAGTGAAATATCTTCTCTGGTAGAACCTGCTCCAGGCCCAAATGAAGGGTGTTGGGGAGCTAGTTTTTTTTCTTTGAGTGAGATAAGCACTGCATGTCACTGCAGCTTGCTCTTGAGAAACATTTTTACCCAAGCAATCTCATTACTATAATTATTGTAGTTAGCCCATTGGTAGGCCTCATTTTCCATTACCTTGTTTTTTTCAGTGTCTCAGATATCTCAGAAAATGACCCATCTCCTTTCAAGCAATCTTAATAGTAATAATAGTAGTAATAATAATAATAATAAAAGCAAGTGTCAAATATTTCTATTTATCTTTCTGAAATGCTTAGCAGATACAAAAGTGAGAGATTATTTCCATTCTGATCTAACCTAATTCTTGGAAAGAATTTCATGAGACAGAATGAAAAAAAAACTTCAGCAAAAAAAGGCACTTCAGGGAAAAAAGAAATCTTAAACCTTGTTGTGACAAATATGGAGCTGAGAACCCATTACTTTGACCAAGCTGCTCAGCAGAGGCCACTCACCTGCCCTGGAGAGACCAAAAAAGCTCAGTTCTTGGTGGCACTGATGCAATTCCTAACCATCACTACAGTACATTATCTGAAACTTATTCTTTGCCTGTAATTGAGAGGTAGTCATTAGACTGCGCCTTATTATATTGCTATAATCCTGTACAGTAGCAATGTAAGTAAGCATAAAAGAAACAAAACTGGTCAGGCCTACACCCGTACTGGGCCCTAGATTACCTATACTCTTGATGCGTATCTTCTTCAGTTTCTGACATATTAGCATGAAACCTTCAAGTTCTCTCTCAGAAATCTTCTCTTCCTTGGTTTCTCCTGACAGAGCCCAGAGCTCATCCTATCCCAGCTGCCCCAAGACCACCACCTTTACCTACTCTCTTTAAAGCTGCAAATGATGGACAGTCCACAGCTACAAAGCTATAAGGGGTTTTTTTTTTTGCATTTGAAGAACCCTATTCAACCACTATCTCATTTCACCTTTAGACCCTTGTTCATCCATCAGTCTTTCACCATAGTTCAGGCTTTAGGGAACCTAATCCTTCTTGCTGCTCCCACCCCAAGTCTTTCAAGCAAGTCCATATTTTTTTTGAAACTTATAGCCCCAGACCACATGCAGTGCTGCAGCTGATAGCTAATCATTAAAGTACAATAACTGCTCCACAGACCTGTTTATTCATCCTAACATTCTCCCTTTCTTACAGCAAGAGTTCATCATTGACACATAAGCAGCATATGATGCACTACACTATTCACCAGCTCATGGCTCCCCATGTGCCAGATCCTACTAGAGACAGCCTGCTATTAGCTAGCTATTCCCATCTAATATTGGAACAGTTCTGTATTGGTGCCTAGGCTTACAACTTTTACACTTTTCCATAGTGGGGGAAAACAAATAAACAAAACAAAACAAAACTCTACAATCCACATCTCATTCCAGTTACTTTGATTTCTAAATCCGCCCCCCCCTTTTTTTTTTCCTAAAAATGCTTGTGCTCCTTCCTGCTTTGTCCCTGCTGAGAATTCATTAACAATTTCTCCATTTTATCAACAAAATCACTAGTAAAAACACTGTATTTAACACAGGATGGCCTGCTGCATCTACTAGTCTTCTAATCCACAAACAGGCCACTAGTACCTACTAAATATAAATTTCTAGGAAGGCCTGTACAAGTCATTTGTAATGCTAATATCGGAAAATGTCGGGGGCAAGTGTCAAAACCCCTACTGGGATGAGAACACCCGTTCTCTGCGCGGCTGCTCTGCTAGCCGATAGGCTTGTCACCCAGCAGCAGAGGGAATTAGATCAGTGTTGAGGTTTTCGTGGTTCTTGTCAAGTCTTAGTTTGCTCATGTGCAATTTTGTTGCCTTCTGGG